TGGTGGATGTCCTCCCCTGGGTGGGATGGGTGGGTGTTGGCCCTGAAAAGCCCCTATGGGGAGTGGTCAATTAACCTATGTATGTATGTATGTATCTTCAAAATCTCAACAATCTCACAGGGAATCTTCTTGGGATCTTTGTTTATATTTTTTTCATAATCTTCAACCAAGTGTTTCAAGGATCGAGATAATGACGATCCTTAATAAAGATTAAGACTATATTTTGAAGGATACTGGTTAAACTTATAGGTCCGAATAGATCTTTAATTTTTCAAGATCAGAGGTGGGAACTTTGAAATAGTCTTAAGCTCAAGGTGGCATGCTTTATTCTTGAATGAAAACTCGAAGATTCTTATTAGACGTGGAATTTTCCGTGAGATTGCTCATACTTTCTGAACGTAACTCGAAATATAAATGTTTCCAGCTGAGGGTGACTCATTAAATCTGTCATCATTCAAACCAAGGGTCAACATCATTTGTTGTTGTCTTAGCAAGATCCTTGACAGATTTTTGATGTATCGTTGAGAAAATAAAATAAACTGGTGACTTTTTGTCTGAGATAACTAAAACACAGATTTGTAATATCTTTTCCAAATTACAGGATTGCAGAACTTCATCACATATTTCAAATAAATTGATAATGATTTCTTCTGAGGATCTCTGAAAAACAATTTATATATATTTTACAATGAGTCTATCAAGACTGGTGCAGTGCCACTTATTTTCAAAATACCTCAAGTTACTCCTGTTTATAAAAATGGTATATTGACTGAACCAGGAAATTACCGACCCATAGCAGTTCTATCAACCTTTAGTAAAGTTCCTGAAAGGTTGGTACATGATCAACTCTATTCATTCCAAGGAAAAAGGAAATTCCATATAAAAGAACTTCGAAAGAACTTCTTTACCGAACAAGCCATACTTGAGGTCACTGACAAATTGAAAAAAGCGATAGATATAAGAAAATATCTTGTGGAGTTGTCCTTGATTTATCAAGGCCATTTGATACTGTAAATCATGAGGTATTACTCTCAAAATTATATGCTTATGGAATCAGGGGTCTCCCTCTTTGCTGGTTTGAAAGCTATTTAAAACACAGTTCACAGTATGTTAAATTAGGTAATGTAGAATCTAGTCAAATGCCTCTCCTCTGTGGGGTGGGGTACCTCAGGGGTCTATATCAGGCCCTCTCCTTTTCCTACCATACATAAATGATCTTCCTAACTGCTGTGAGAGACCATATTTTGGAGTTTTTGCTGATGATACGAATATCTTTTTTAGTAGCGAAAATACAAAAGAATTAGAATTGGTTAGGTATACTGCGATGAAATCAGTTTTTAGTTATCGTAATACTAATAAACTGTCTCTAAATCTAAGAAAAATTAATTATATGGTAGTAACATCCCCTAAAAACGAGTTGACGTAAATATTCAATATGTTGAACGCAAAGATCATATCAAGTACTTAGGTGTGTTCATTGACAAGCACTTGAGCTGGGGTGCCCATATGCAACATTTAAATAACATAGTTGCCAAAAACATTAACGAAAAACATTAACCGCCTCCCGGTTAGCTCAATGGATAGAGCGCTGGACTGTAGTTGTAGCGAAAATACAAAAGAATTAGAATTGCTTAGGTATTCTGCGATTAAATCAGTTTTTAGTTATCGTAATACTAATAAACTGTCTCTAAATCTAAGAAAAAGTAATGATATGGTTGTAACATCCCCTAAAAACGAGTTAACGTAAATATTCAATATGTTGAACGCAAAGATCATATCAAGTACTTAGGTGTGTTCATTGACAAGCACTTGAGTTGGGGTGCCCATGTACAACATGTAAATAACATAGTTGCCAAAAACATTGGCGTAATAAACAAACTCAGATATCATTTATACCTAAGAACGATGAGGCAGTTATATTATGCATCGATTTTTCCTTACCACACCTATGGCATCCTGAGTTGGGAAAATAACTATAAGACAAGAATGGACAAGCTCCTTACAAAGCAATATAAATGCACGCGCAATATCTTTTATGCTCACAGTAGAGAACATTCAACACCATTTTATAATTTATTAGAAATTCTCAATTTTGATAACATGGTGAAATTTAAGACTGCTGTATTTACACATAAAATTCTTAAAAAGAAAGGGATTCCAGCCATATTCTGTGACCTTATCATCCTGGCAGTAGATATACACTCTCATAAAACTCGACATGCTACCCGAGGAAATTTTTAGAGAACAAACATTTGCACAGACTACAGCAAGTGTATGTGTAGATATAAGGCAATTCAAGTGAGGGAAAGTGTCTCACCACACTTAAAGTCCGTTACTGAACCTACTTTCGGAAAAAAATATAAAATATTTCTTCTTTTCAATCAATGATGTTAGATGTCACAGTATGCCCTTTGATTAAGATATGCCTCAGTTAGTATGAAATTGCTGTAGATTATGCTAATAATGTGCCCGTTAATTTTAATTTTATCAGGTATAGATCTTGGTTTGTCTTTTTTTTTCTGATTATATTTCAAACATGACAGTGGCCAACTCGAAAGCCTCGGCTCATTCGGCCACTGCGCACATCCTCTCTAGATTTTTCCACTTATTAATATTCAAATAATAGTTAGATAGTACACATCTGTGATTATATATTCTGCCTGTGCAACCGTTTGTTCATCTGAACTGAAGTTGAAGTTGAAGTTTTGAATATTGTCATGGAAATACCTTTGGAGATCGCGAAAGATCAGTCACAGAGGGTCTCTGATGCACATAAAGAGCCTCGTGAAGAACTTTTGAACGGGCTCCTCCATTAACGAAACTTAAGGCGCTCTTTAAGTTGTAATTCGTTATTGTCACCGTTGAGGTATCTTTCGCTTTAGTACGGAATGTAACAGGAAAATAAAATGGGCAATTTCAAAGAAAGGAACCTTCGCTCGTGGGAACGAAGAGAACGAAACGAAGGTCAGCCGTTCAGCAATTTTATATGGATGAAGAAAAATACAATCATTTCATTCGGATTACCTGACACAATACAAACCTCGACCAGATGTTCTGGTTGGATGCTCTACCGACTGAGCTGCTGGTAACTCATTGGTGAGCTGGACCATGGGCTAAGCTCAGATGAGACGGGCTTACTACGCACTACAACAGCTATCTGTCTGCGCTAATGATGTGAAATAACTGTTCTTTATAGGCAAACGTCCTGATCAAAAACAGGTAGCAAAAATGGCGCATTCCACCCCAGTTGTCGAGCCATTCGCTAACATCTCAGCGCAAGAGTTGCTAAAAAATACCCCCGGTTTGTTCGGATGGGTAAGAAAGGAGGAGACTGCCGGACTGCGGTCGATGGTGAAAGCACTTGATTGTAAGTATTGGAAGTCGCGACAAGTAAAACAAAAATAAAAAAGTATAAAAAGTATGACAAAAATACAAACACAAACAAACAGTCAAACGATCCATAGTGAAGGCACTTGATTGTAAGTACTGGAAGTCACGAGCAGTCTAAAAAGTAGAACAGAAATGCAAAACAAACGAAGAAACAAACAGACAAACAAACCAACAAATAATAAAATTGAAAGTAAAACCTGAAAAAGTGAAAAAAAATATATATAATTTTTTGTTCTTACCACGTTTTGACTTGATCAGTGATCTATTAAAAAATAGGGGCAAGGCAACATGAAATCTATTTGCCAATTGTATAGCTACTACCACTGCAAAGAAATCGTGTAAATATTGTTTTCTTTTAGGGCCCTGGCGTTATATGATCCTCAGTAAAGGATGCCTGTATTTATTCAAGCATTCCGATGACCAGGACTTTTGTGAGGCAGTCCCTCTCAGCAACTTTAGGTACCGAATTAAAAGTTAAATAACTTTTATTTATTTATTTGAGTGGTTTAAGAATTTAATTGGGTATTTCCACCGCGTGAGGCTCGAGAAAAGTCAGTTTTCTATATTGTGTTTTAGAGTGTGTAATGCCCCTGAGAAATCTAAGTACCCGTGGGTTTTCAAACTGATTCACACGAAGTCATATGACGTCAAGACGTTGGTGTTTGCCGTGGACACAGACTTTGATTTAAAGGCAAGTATGTTACAAGTTGCCATGACTACTGTCTCGACTCATGAAATACTCAAACATGTTTGTGGCGTAATGAAAACCTGAACAAGCCAAGCAGGCAATAATCTTCACAGTTGTAGAATTTTGAAACAGTAACTTGCACCCACCAATTTGAGGAATACTGTGCAATGCAACCAAAAGCCAAACCCACACTTCACGGCTCGTTTCAGACGCCAGATAAACTTCTCATATGTCGAATTTTCAATTCGAATTTAGACTGAGTTAACTTAATAAAACTACGATAGTTCATCAAGACGTCAAATTAATCTGCTCCCCCAATGCTTTTCCTGTGCCTTTGGGAATAAATACGCTAATGCAATTCAATTCGGCAATGCAATGCAATTCGGCAGTAACTCTTCTCTTCTCATGGTTGATAGTTAGAACTGTTTATTCTTTTGTCAGAAATGGCAAGACGCTATTGGTATAGATATGGACAAGTATTGCCGTGATTCACCGCGGTAAGTGACGAAGGTGACAGAGGAGTAAAAGAGTAATATGCCACAGTTTTAAGGTGAAGTTATCAGGAATTGACAGTAAATGAGGAACACACAATCCAATCAATGTTGACTGCGCCAAGGCTATGAAAATCCTGTTTCAGATGAAACTATTCAAACATCTTATATATATATATATATATATATATATATATATATATATTGTGGGAGGAAAAAGACAAGTAAACTACAAGTTCATCCCTACAAGCCTGTTTCGTGGTCGCCCACTCATCAGGGGATTTAATGAGAATAAACTTTACCATTGCTTATATACAATATAATTTGCATGATCTAACTAGTCTAATTTATGCAGCGCGAAATTGACAGTTTAGTTGTTGCGTAGGAGGGCTTTGCTTCTGTATTACCTTGTATTGCCTTCTGTATTACCTTGTATTACCTTTCAAAAGAAAGGTAATACAACGTTCGACGTAACAATGGGAAGCTACGACGGCGCCGAAACATGTGAACTCGTGGGAAACTTTCTCCTCTCCCAACTCCAGGATCTTAATATAAACGTAGGACTTTACCGAGACGACGGACTAGCCATTACAAACGCCACACCCAGAGACACAGAGAACATTAAGAAGGAAATATGCCGCATCTTTAACAACAACGGACTACGCATCACCATAGAAGCTAACAAACAAATAATCGACTTCCTAGACGTCACATTTAACCTTAACCGAAGCACTTATCAACCATTCACAAAGCCGAATACTTCACTGCAATATGTTCACCGCGAGAGCAACCATCCGCCAACAACAACAAAAAACATTCCCGCCGGTATCAACAAACGACTGTCCTCCCTGTCATCTGACAAAGCATCCTTTGACCAAGACGCACCTGAGATCACTGAGTTGGGCTAATTTTGTTTGTATGTACGTGTCAATTTTGTTACTGATATTTTAAAAGTCAAAAATATGT